CTTTCGGCTTCAACTTGGTTGGAACTGTTGAGCGGGCGAAGCAACGTTAGGGCCTCTCCCTATATAGTTACTCCAAGCACCAAAACAACAACAACAACAACAAACAAACAAACAAACAAACAAACAAACAAACAAACAAACAAACAAACCAACATATACACAAACAAACAAAAGCAAAATAAAAAGAGCAGCAGGGAGTATTTGAGAGAGTCAAAGCCCGCCTCTTAAATGATCTAAATTGTGTCGCCATGGGCGTGAAAGGCGCCTACAATGTTAATTTGAAAAAACCCAACCAAACTCTACGCCAAACACAGAGAGTAAAAGCATTAGTAGTACTACCACAATCAAGAAAACCACCACCACCCACAACCTATCACAACCACAGCCCTCATCAGCGCTCATACCACCACGACAATAGCAACAACACAATTATTAAAATTACTTCCACAATAACAACGATTTTGTCAGTAGTATTAGTATCAAGAAGAAGAAGAAGAAGAAGAAGAAGAAGAAGAAGAAGAAGAAGAAGAAGAAGCTTTTGATACAATTGACCTTCACATTTTATTGAAGCGATTGGAAGTGTCTTTTGGATTATCCGGGACTGCCCTTAGCTGGTTTTCTTCTTACCTGTCAAATCGTTACCAATCTGTTTTTATTAAAGGGCTTGAGTCACCAGATCATGCTCTTAAGTATGGGGTCCCCCAGGGCTCAGTCCACGGTCCAGTTTTGTTCACCATTTATACTCAACCACTTGTCAAGGAAATAGTTAAATATGACTTAAAGTACCATTTCTATGCTGATGATACCCAAATTTATGGTTCAACATTGTTTACCAACTTAGATGTACTTGTCCATCGTGCTGAAAATTGTATTGCCTTAGTGAAAAACTGGATGAACAAAAATAAATTGATTGATGTTAAATGATAATAAAACAGAAGTCATTCTGGCAGGCAGTGCAAAGTCTGTTAAAGAGGTTGACCATGGTCACATTAAAAAGAAAGCGAGACTCTGCTAAACCTCTTTTACGAACTTTGCATTGGCTTCCTGTTGAGAAAAGGATTGTGTACAAGTTGGCCACCATATGTCACAAATGTTTGAATGATAATGCACCATCATATTTATCAAATCTGTTAAGACTGTACATTCCAACTCGCAGTTTAAGATCATCAGCTGACAAAAAGAAATTTATTTTACCATCTATGAAACTTAAAACAATGGGTGAAAGGGCATTTGAATACCAAGGCCCCAAGATCTGGAATGCTTTACCAAGTACGTTGAGAGAAATCAAATCTTTTGATTCATTCAAATGTCAGCTGAAGTCGTTTCTGTTTTTACATTAATAAGATGAATATTTGGAATAATTTTCTTTAGTCAGAACACAACGTTTCATGTTACTGTTGTATGTTGTACTGTATTGTAAAGCGCTCAGAGCCTGTGTACTTTATTCGGGGTTGAGCGCTATATAAATGTCATTTATTATTTATTATTATTATTAAGAAGAAATAAGCAATAACATGACCAGTCACAAGCAAACGGTTTTCTGCGAAATGTACTAACCTCCAAAGACAGGGACAAGATTCAACGAAACGTGCCGACAAGATTTTTTGGTAAATCTTTCCGCATTGTTCATCTCCTTTTTCAGAGTGAAGAGGCCGTAAACGTAACCCAAACCCCCAACGATCACAAATAGACGTGTGATATGGATGTAACCTGTGAAATGAGGAAAGACAAATTAACAGAGAATTACGTGTTAGCAAACATAGCCTCCGACATAAACACACACACACACACACACACACACACACACACACACACACACACACACATACACACACACACACACACACACTTACACTTACACACTTACACACATACATACATGCACATACATACATACATACATACATACATACACGCACACACATGCACACGCAAACACACACGCACACGCACACCCACACACACACACACTCTCTCTCTCTCTCTCTCTCTCTCTCTCTCGATCTCTCTCTCTCTCTCCCCCCCCCTCTCTCTCTCTCTCTATCTCTCACTCAGTCACTCCCTCACTCATTCACTTGATCACTCACTTAGAAGAAAAGCAAACTGAAAAAAGTAGGTGCCGGTTCCACAAAGTACAAAGTTAAATACCAAAGAGTTTAAAGTACTTTTTCTTTGAATGGAATCCTGAAAGAGCTACGCAAACAATGAAATTCACAGTTAAGCTAAGATAACTAAAATAGGACAATCCTTTTTTAAAAAAGTCATCAAGATTCATTCATTCTTTCATCTAAAATAAAAAGAAAAAAACATCCCACATCAGGCCGGACGTAAAGCAAGCAAAAAAGCCGAACTTTAAACAGTCACAAAATGATACACTGACAATTCACATACTCATAATTTACTGTGTCTCATGCAGTTCGTGCCAATTTTGGAGTATACAAAGAAACAGGAATAAAGGAATCCTTAAGTTTATAATTCCGATTCTGTAAAGCCACCGTTTTTGCTTGTGATACCACAATAGGCTAAGTTGAGAGCTCTGTTGCTTGACAACTTATTTTCATATAAAATCATAATTTCTCAGATGTTTTTTTTTTTTTTTTTTTTTCAATGCAAGGTGTAAGCTTAATATTTTTTTTCTCCATGGCGGTACAAGAAATATATTCAGTTGTGAGAGTATCACATAGATCTAGTCACCAACGGAAGAAGGAGAAAACAAGAGATCTTGTAAGCTTTTCACTGAGGACAGGTCATAAAGTACAGACAGACAAGACCACGACACTACGGATCAACACCACCGTCCATGATCAGATTACGATCGAGGAAACACCACGACTAGAGGAAGCTGATTCCTTCTCTTACTAAAGTAGCATCATAGACCAAGTTGGAGGTACGGATGAAGATGTAAAGATAAAAATGGGTAAGGCACACAACTAATAAACATATTATCAAAGATCGTACATAGCAAGATAGTTCACTCCTCTCTTTGAGCTAATTAAGAAAGTGTCCTCAAAATCCGGTGGCGCCCTCTTGAAAAAGTGCGGACTTTGCGAACAGAGTTACTTTACTTGGTGTGAAAACAATAAAAGTGAAAGCAACAAACTGTGAGATTCCTATTCTTCTTCTGGAAAAACAAAAGAGAGCTTCGAAACAAAGACTGCAGCACCATCTGAAGCAATGCACGGACGTCCGCGGACACTTCTTTGGCCGAGTGAACTATCTTGTTATGAATGATCTTTCCTACCGGAAGATCAGGGGTGATGCTGAAAGACAGCAGTAAGAAGAAGCCAAGGAGGAGCAGTAGAAAGACTGCAGAAAGTCAGGAGCCAGAGGAGGGGGCAAAGGAGGTGACGGGGTGGGTGCAGAAAGTGGAAACGAAAGCAGACGACAGAATATTGCTAGAGAGCCAGCTCAAGTACGACAACTCCTTTCACTCCTATGTGATCTAAACTCCCAAGCCAACACAACTCTACAGTGGATACCTGGTCACTGTGGCATTTATGGAAATGAAAAAGCAGACGACTTTGCCAAAGAAGGAGCCGAAATGACCGAGATTGAAGATGTCATCAATCTCTCAGAGTCAAAAACACTAATAAAATCTGCCTTAAGAAACAGATGGAAAAGGTCCCACCCTAAACACAACAGACATACCCACTACTACATACTAAATAGAGCAGACCAGGTCACAATCTTTAGACTCCGTTGTGGCCACAACAGACTCAAACACCAAAATTAAAAGTGGGAGAGTCAGCGATCTGTGAATGTGGATACTACCAAGAGGATGCCAACCATATCCATCAGCACTGCCCGCGCTACGCCACCCTTCGCGCACAGACGTGGCAGAATGTGGCTCCCCTTGAGAGAAAGCTCTATGGCATTCTCTCAGAGTTGAAGCGAACTGCACAGTTTGTGTGCGACATCGGACTGACTGTCTAGCCGCTGTAATCGAGAACGAGGAAGAAGAAGAAGCTAGAGAGCATGAAAAGAGGTGAAAGGAGACAATTTTAGAGAAGGCAATTTTTTCGTCGCTACCTGGATTCGAACCCGGGACCTTTGAATGAGAGGCGAACGCCTTAACCTCTAGGCCACGAGAACCTCCTCTTATCTCTAAAGAGATGTGGTACATTTGGATTG